ATCGGCGTCAGACTGAGCCACTGTAAGATACGAGCTGGCAATAAAGTGTACTAATTAATCCCATGTTCCCACCCCTGCTCAAGTTTTGTTCCTCAAGTTTTGTTTTCAGCGGTTCCTAGGGCTGCATATGCAGGATGTGACTGACAGTTGGAAGAAACACCAACGACATGCTACTTCATCAAATTCAACCCGGGAATAGGAAACTATGCGACGGAGTAGCATCGCAATTGGCCTGGCTGAAGATAAGAGGCGCCGCCAACAGTTGCAGAACTGCACATGGGCGGCATAGCTACGGACGTAAACACGGCCGTAAGGCGGCGTCGACCTTCTAGGCTCCTATGAGCTCGTAGCCCCCACGCGCTGTTCCCATGACCGGGGAAGTAAGAAAAAAATTGAAATGCTCACGTTTCGGGAGGCAATTCGTCCACCGGAATTGGCATTTCCAAACTATCAGCAGGCCACCAGACGCCTCCGAAGTCCAAGGGGGCCACATGCAATCACCTTTGCCTGGCACTCTGGCAGCCTGTCTTTAGTAGGTCTGGTGTCCTGTATAAAACTCTGGCGGGTGGCTGAACTACCTCTTTCTCTAAGCGAATGACCTCCAATGAAACTCAGGAATTCGAGCCTCGCAAATACTTCGGTTCCCGTACTGTATACATCAAGAGCTCATGGCCCAACCGTTTCCACAAGTAGAGTCCCTCCGTGCTATCGATTGGAATAAGTATGACTCTTTCGTTGCTTCCGTTTACGGTTTTTGGCAGCGACTGGGGCAACCCCCTAATACGGCCTGGACACTCGACCTAGCCTATTGAGATGTAGAAAACTACGTCGTCAGAGTGACTCCTTCACTTCAACGACAAGTGAGGTAGACGATGATACCCGGCCAGACTTCAATTGGGTTATGGTAGAGTCAGATCAGTGGTCTCCCTACGATGTTCCAAGGGGCATGACGCAGATCTTTGCCTTGTCCTGGTAAACGGTACTTGGATCATGCAGAATTCTGACTCTGCGCCGGCGAGGATTGGATCCGATACGCCGGTACTCAATAACACATTTTCCAAGATGCCCTGCGGTAACTGGGCATCCGTGCACATCCATTCCGACCAGACGTTGAAGAGTTGAGACAGTGAGATCGACAACTCTGGGAATGGGTGTCTCAACGCATTCGGCAGAGCTAATCCCCAGATCGCCAAGATCTGCCAAATCTTCAGGGATTCTGTGAACCCCAGCCTACTGTAAAAAGAAAGCTGCAGGCCGAATGCGTTATTCTTGAGTCTTAGTGCCGACAACTTTGACAACTATGGAAGTAATACCAAAAGTAGAATCTAACGACTAATACCGCATGGGGCACTCATAGCTCTCTAAAAATCTATCACTTCTCATCGAACTCTAGATATGTCTCAATTGGTTTATACCCTCAGCTGAAAAAGAACGCTAGGACGTATTGCCGACATCATTTTTCGATTGAGATTCGGGTTATACCGTTGTAAGGATACACTACTTTGCTAAATGATGAGCATGATGGCGGGTTGCAATAGACGAGATCCTCCCGACTGCCCGCCCCTTGCTGTTCGATATAGAGGTGCACTCAAAACGGAGCCTTCGCGGCTGCATGTAGATCTTTTTCTGAAGTCGTGCAAGGATGGAATCATGGATACATCTGCTTGGAATGAGAAGGAGAAGTTAACTCTTTCTTCAATCCCTGCGCTCTGACACGCTTTTCAGAGCCGCAATAGATGGAGATCCAATTTGTATGGCTACCAAGGCGTGAATGTGGGATTAGTCGAATGGAAAACTGGTATACTCTGGTTATTATCCCTTGCCGTCTTCGATATGATGGTGGCATTGGGGAGTAAACGCCAGCACGTGGAATGAAGGCAAGGGACGTAAGATTGTTGTTGTGTGGAGTGCGCTTCAACACACGGAATGATGCTGGGATTGAATAATCAGAATGAATAGAGCGACTGCTATGGATCAATGTAGATCATAGACAACTCCGTCTTTGAGATATTTCTGAGATGGCGAGGAATACTGTCCATGCAGGGGATGGCCTGGATGCCCTCATTCCTTGGGGTCTGAGGAAGACTAGTGAAGCGATTACTGACGATCTCAGAGTCTTCCGACTGGTCGTGTGTGGAGATAGCATCTGTTGAATAAGTCTTCTCAAGACAGGATGAAATGTATAAAGAGCGTTGCTTGTCCGTCCTGACAAGACTTCTTTTCCCTTCATCATCACACTCAGCAAGCACATCTCATCTGATCATCTTCTCTTCACTCTTCAGCAATCCTCATCCATCTTAATCAGCATCATCTGCCACTTCCAAACTTCGACCTTCAAGTCTACCTCAATCTTTTCAAAATGCAGTTCTCCACCGCCGTCATCACCGCCATTGCCATGGCCCTCACCGTCACCGCCGCTCCTGGCACCGCTGCTCCGGTCAAGAGAACCCTCGACACGCTCACCTACGCTGATGCACAGAACGTCTGCGGCCAGAACCTCAGCGTCAGCTGCTGCAACCAGGTCAGCGCCGACACCAATGTCAACGACAACTCGGGATCCGGAATCCTCTCCGGCATTCTGGGTGGCGTCCTCGGCAACGGCGGCTTGAAGCTTCTTGATGGATGCTCCTCCCTTGGAGCTGGAAGTGAGATTCTCCGATACCAAGTGTCTCTCTCTAATGCTAACACTCAGTAGTCGCCAACGACCTCTTGAACAGCAAGTGCAAGCAGAGTGTTGCCTGCTGCAAGTCCGATGGCAACACCGTGAGTCCTCACCGAACTAATATGACGAATTGCAGACTTCAGCTGACTTTGATTTCTTCAGGCTTCCGGTCTCGTTGCTGTCCAGCTTCCTTGCATCCCCATCTCTGGCCTTTTGTAAGGAAACCCAGAGGTCTCCCTCTTCATATTAATGGTTGTTCAACTATTTGGAACTACGGGACTACTCGGCTGAAGGGCACGATGGAGGATTCGGGGTGATGTATGAGTTCGAGGCAACAAGATGGATTCGATTCGCGATTAGGGTTCTACTCTGATAGATAGCTTTCAAAGGCTTTCAAATATACTTATTTGCTTTCAAACTTTTGCCCTAAGAATATCCGAGAAGAGTAGAATGGATTCTCGAGCAATAGTCCTAGATTCATGCTGGATGGATTATGGATCATGGATGTCAAGATGACGAGTTATCATTTTCATGGTCCATATGCCTACCTATATATCAAGCAAACACGAGTGGACTTTTCTTTTCGGAAAGCAAAAGCATTACTGTGACGTACCAGGCTGATGTACCCACAGCCTAAATGTCCTACCTCGAGCTAAGATGTCACTACCTCTGGGAGAAATGCTTACAGGGTATGTCGGGAATCACGGACATTTTGTTAAGCCGGATACCATGGCTTTAGACTACGCATCTATTCACTTGAGACAGGGCTGATATTTAACGGAAAATAAGAAAAGAACTAAGAGATGCGTCGGAGATTCATCCGAACGCTTCGTTCCCTAGGTGGTGGTTGCCTGACTAATCGGGTTCGTCGGAATTCCGAAGAGTCCCGTACTTAAGCGACAAATGAATACAACCATATTCCTAACTCAAGCGACTTTTGAATTGTATCCGAAGCCCTATGCAGGCATTGCCACGAGGAAGCTCCCGCGAATATTGCGGGGTGCAGCGCGTGCGGAGGTCGGGACGAGCAAAAATCCCGTCGCTAAGGATAGTCGAGTCGATCTCTCAGGAGAGGAGCACGCCTATCTCCTAAGTCCCCGAAAGCGATCATCGTTGCTCTGTCTCGTGTTATAAGATGGACAGAGGACCACTTCTGATACTAATGGCAGAAGAGACATTAAATGCTTCTGCGATACACCCGATATTCAAATCTTTTAACTACAACATTTACATCATGAACCCCTTGAACTCTCAAATCTCCCAAGACAGTTACCATTGGATCTCGAAAGCAATCGATAGTTTGGATCCCGAGACAGACTATGAGACCATATGGCGTCTGACATCAAGCTACCAGCTCTCTGACTTCGCCAACAACTTGATCTATACCCTTACCTTCCCCAACTTTGTCATTCCCCTACATGGAGCAGAAGTAGTGTGGCGCTCTGACGGCGGCAAAGTCGTCCATAAAGCCGTCGACAGAGTCGAGAAGACGGAGCACTACAATATGGCGTGGTGGTACTACGGTCCCAGTGATCAACGTTGCCGAGATGCCGTTGAGAGAATCAATCAGCTACACGCTGGGCTCGCGCGACAGTATCCTGGAAGATTTTCCCACAACGAGGACTACGTCTACACCCTGACCTTCAGCGCCGTCTTGATGCATCGCCTGAGGATACGGCTCGGTCTGTCAGGTTTCACGGAAAAGCAGCAGATTGCTGCTCACCACTTCTGGCGGGACATGGCTCCTCTCTTCAAAGTCGAAGGCAAAGGAACTGTGAAGGACTATCCAGGAGATTTTGATGGATGTATAGCTTTCTGCGAGGCGTATGAGAATACACCTCGAGAGTACAACGAGAAAGCTCGATATATCGGTTTATCCATCTTCAATCTCTTTGCTTACCGCTATTTCCCACCGGGCCTGCGATGGTTCGGCATGGCGTTCCCCCGAGCGCTTTCTCTGCCAACGACGCTGAGCGCTTTTCGCATCGAGCCGGCCAACCCCTTACTGGCAGCCATAATCATCTTCATCGTGAGAACAGTGTTCCTCGTCACGGAGATCTTGCTGCCCGATCCCAAAATCCCATTCTTCGAAAGATTGGAGACACTGCCAGAGATAGAGGCACAAAAGCGGAGAGAGGAGATAAGGGCCTTGGACAAGTCCTATGAGCAATTCATCATGTCTCAGTTGAGCGGTCCAGGCTGTCCGTTTAGCGCAAAGATGCAATAGGTATCACAAGCTGGAAACTTGCTACCGAGTATCGGCCAGACAGAAACAATGTCTTTGGCATAATTCCTCAATGATCTATCATCTATCGAAATAATGAACATCTAAGTCGCTCTAAGTCCTAATTGTCTCCTTCTTGAGCCAATCTCGCCAACTCTGGTCGGCAAGAATATGTCTGACTCTAGCCTCGAGCCATTCTGTATTTCCCCAGAAGCCCCAAGATGCCTGGAAGCGGCACCAATCCACCAAGGCAGTCTCCCAGTGTCGCACGAACGTCTCCCAATCATAATTCTCGGGCCCCTTCCCTGTCGGCTTTTGGCTCAGGAGAGTACTTCGATACTGCTCCAGAATAGTCCTCTCACCCTTATCCATGGCTAGCTGATCCGGTATGTCTTCGTGCTGAGTGAGCATCTCAACGGGGACCGAACAGGTGAAGAGCTTAGCGAGATCGCAGCCGCCAATTCCGAGTCCCGCGTACTGGAAGTCGAAGAAAGCCACCTTGTCGCCAGATTTAGTCGTGAAGAGGTTTTCGGACTTGACGTCGCCGTGGATGTATGTCTCAAACGGCCTGCCAGATGGTGTGAGGAAGTCGGCAACTAGCTCGGCAATCGAAGAGGATGAACCCTCGACGGGGTCGCAGAATGCCGAAGACCATTCGGAATAGTCGTCTCTGCAAAGCGATCCGTATTCCTTCCGTCTGGTAGCAAGGTATGTGTACCCTCCGTTCAGCCACATCTTGGGCTCTGTAACGCCATTACCAGCCTCCCTTCGTTTCGCCTCTTCAAGCGGGGGCAGCACAAATTGCCCAAGGTCATCCGGCAGCGATGCCCAAGAGCTGCTGTGATACTTTGCCAGCCAGTCCAGCGCAGCATTCACCTGCTTGCGATTGAGGACCAATCTCTTTTCACCAGCCACGGGAAACTCTGGCCGCAGGTCCGTGATGATGGTGGCGGTGAGACCCTCAAGCTCTTCCTTGCGGGGCTTGCCCTCCATATCTAGAGTGGAAGCGAGGCACTTTGCGACAGCGACATCATCTGATAATCGCGGTGCAATCTCTTGGTAGAAGTATTGCTCCACCTCGTAGCTTAACATCTTGCGCAGGTGGCCCTCATCTGTTCCCTTGGCGCGTGGCGGTGAGATGAGTTTGATGATGAGGCGATATGTCCCATCTTCTTCTGAATGGATAGCTAGCGGCTTTTGCTTCGAGTTGGCGACACCATTGGTGTTAGCAAGCTTTGCAGTGAGGGCACAGATGTGGCCGTAGCCCGCCCAGAGAGTTTGAAGCTCAGTGAGGGAGACGAGCTCAAGGCCTAGCCATGAGAGCATGATTTCGGCGACATGACGAGGCTGCTTGAGAGAAGCCATGGCGATGGAGAATGTGGCTGCCGCGAATAACAATTGAGTGCTGCCAATGCTGATTCCCGTGAATGGCGCCTGAGCGATGAGATGAGTGAAGTTGGATGAGAGTTGATGAGGTTCAGTGAGCGCCACATCCATTTCGAGAACGTTTCTCAGGTGGGTCCCGATAACTTCGTCCAGTCTCAAGCTGCCACGGACTCAATAAGGAGTAAGAAAATTTGCAATAGCTGCGCGAGTTTGTGAATTCCGAAACTTGAAAAGCCGATTGGAAAACAGAACTTGAAAAGCAAAATTCAGAACTTGTCAGCGCAGCTGAAAGTAAGTTGTCAATCACCTAACATCTCATGCAAGTCCTGGCTCGGCGTTCATCAGCCGTACAAACTATGCTTGCGCAGCTGGCGCCACCTGGGGAGAGCATGTGGGAGAAAATCCGAGCACAAACATGTCACTCATCGTCATTGTAAACTTGCTCACTCTCACGACCTCACCATTAGACTCCCAACGTTGACCGGCCAAGGTATCGGGGTAGAATAAAGCCAACAACACGTGGTTGGGGAGTCTGGGATAATCTCAGCGATCTGCCCTCAGGCCATCAAGGTGCCTTTTAGCCCCACCGCAAGATACTCCTACTAAAGGCGGACTTCAAGACGTCGTCGTCAGCTCCCGTATCAAGAGCATAAAGTTCTGTCTTCACGAATTCATTTCGCCTCTCATACTTGAAAAAACATGGGCCGAACGCAACCGTCAGTTGGGCAGCCACCGGCGGCCTTTCGGAAAGCCGCCCGAGCCAAGAAGGCCAAGGTCACCCTCAATCAGCTAATTCCATCACTCCTCCCTACGCACCCACGAGCCCGGCGCGGAATCGACTCAGCCGAGCTGATCATCGAGCCTAAGTCAGCGATCAAGGAGAATCGAACCCCCAAGGCAGAAGGCGCTGATGTTTCGGAAACCAACGGGCCATTTCACATCAGGCTCCAAGTTGCCGACACTCTTACAGCCGCTCACGCCTTAGTGACTGAGAAGGCGGAATCGAATCGCCCGGTAGACATAAGTAATAAAGAGCCGCGGGTTGCGGTTCTCAACATGGCCTCACCTCTTACGCCGGGTGGTGGCTTCGTCAATGGTGCCGGTAGTCAAGAGGAGTCATTATGTATGCGGACTACGCTGCTGCCATCTCTCAAAGACGAGTACTACCGTCTGCCAGAGCTCGGTGCTATTTACACACCAGATGTACTGGTTTTCCGAGATGAAGATGCGGACGACGTGTTGGAGAAAAGAGACCGATGGTTCGTGGACTGCATCAGCGCCGCCATGTTGCGGAATCCAGAAATTGAGCGAGACGAGGACACTGGTTTCAGCCACTATGTTCAAGAAAAAGACAGACAGCTCATCCTGGAAAAGATGAAGATTGTGCTGCGGATATGCCAGCTCAAGGGCATCAAGAAGATTGTGCTCGGTGCTTGGGGATGTGGTGCCTACGGGAATCCAGTCGCCGAAGTGGCCAAGGCGTGGAAGAAGGCGCTACTACCGAGGAACGACGGAAAAGGGAAAAAGAAAGGGAACAAAGAGACATGGAGCGGGATCGAAGAAGTCGTCTTCGCGATCAAAGATACCGGCATGGCCGACGCCTTTCAAGAGGCTTTCGGGAAGGGCATTGAGAGAGACGTAGAAGCCGAGGTGGATGAATCCGATGAGGAGATTGATATCGCTCAAAAGAACAAGGAGGAGCTTCAAGCAAGGATTGCCGAGTTACAGCAGCGCATCGATGCCACACCAAACCCGCAAGTCAAGACGGGCCTCAACTCAATTCTTGCTGGGTTGATCAGCCAACTACCCGCTGATTCGGGAAAAGAAACTGACGAAGAAGAGGATGAAAGAGAGGGAACAGCGGACAACAGCGGCGATAGTGACGCAGGTTCAGACGAGGCATGAGTCTAGCCATGAATTATGATCTATTGATAACACTATTGGCCCCTGAAGATGTGCCCCAGCTCACTGTCGGATTGTGTTCCTCCAATTCAGAATCAAGACTGGCTACAAGAACGGTTAGAAAATGCCCCCATGTCAACGTCGGACAAAATAAGCCGAGGTGTTACCTGCCATAGCTTCGTAATACGTGCGCGACTAGCTGTGATTCGTACAGCCTCGGTCAATAACTCCCCTGCTGGACATTTCTGCCGGTATATCCGATGAACCGATGAACTAATCCCGGCCGAGGCTATCATCATCAAGTGCAGGGCACATCGCCATCTGATGGTTGATGCAGTCATCTGTTATGGCCAGCGCGGTACTTTCGAACATTCCTCTCAGCTCTCGCCAGCTCTGTTATCATTAGCAGGACAGTTTAGCAAACCACGTAGTCTTTCTCAATGCTGTCGGTGATAGGCAAAATGGGAACATCCAATACTACCCATTCTCCAGCGCATGGGGTTATTCAAAGTTCCTCAGACTGAACCTGCACGACTTCTATAGCTCTTCCTTGAGTTGAATTAGGAGTCAACGTAATTACTTCGTGTTGGCGAGTGATTTTGAAGACACAACGTAACTAGAAACATGAAACTCTGCAATCGTCTCATTGCAACATGTTATTGAGTATGAACTACCTGAGCTTCTAGAGCCTAACTTAGGTCGTTGTCTATAACATAGATCCTTCATCTTCTACAAGTTGTGTACGGTGCTGTTCCTAGTCCACCTACGGAATGTCTTGCCATAGAAGTAAAATATCGTCCCGCAAGCACAGAAAAAGACGGTCAGCGCCATATTAGTCATGAAAGCCGGTATGAACCTATTTGTGTCAGCATATGGCATCGGCCAAAAGAGAGAAGCTTAACTGACCCTGCCTGTATTGTCCAAGGGGTAATGAATTTACCCATGCCGTATCCCCACACGTTCTTGTTCACCGTGATAGCAACCATGAGAGGACCAGTCACTGGCTTGTAGCAGTCGATGGCGTAGGTGCTGGCGATACTGGGTAAAGCAGCAACCTGGATGCCTGCGCTGGCGTAACCGAGGACTACGATGATAGGCCAGGACCAGTGGTTCTGATATCCAATAGCGGTGATAATATTACCAAATATCATGATGATCACGAATGGAATCATAGCAGGGAGACGCATCTCAGGCTCGCGGATGCCGTTGTTTCGAGCAGTCGCGCGGGCGGATACCCAATCGCTAAAGGGGCCAGCGGTGACGAGTCCAATCAGCGCACCAACAAGAACTGCCAGATTGGTAAAGCCTACAAGGGTTAGTCTCATACAACAATTGTGGATGCAATTTTGGGTTTACGAGGCTTACCGATAGACTGCGAGCTCATATTATAAGGGGGTGCTGCGAAGACTTGAGACTGCGTGAGGTTTAGAATGAGGAAGTTGCTACAACTCCAGCTCACAACAAACGACGCAAATACCACAATGGGGAATCCAAAAAGCTTCCAGGGAGTCCAGAGGTCGAACCAGATGGTCTTAAGGGGCGAAGAGTTGCGTTGAAACAGGTACCACTGCTGCTTAGAGGGGGTTCCCTTGCCAAGGTACGGGTCCATGTCCGCAGTCCGAGTGGGGTTCAATGTCTCGTCGGCAACTTCGATTGTGACAGCGTCTTGAGTTGGCTGAGAACGAATCCATCTTGTCTCTGGGAAGCCAAAGAAGGCGTAGACAATGGAGGCACCTGTCAGCGCAACGTTGAGCCACCAAAAGTTCTGCCATCCAACATGATCCGCCATCGGGCCCGCAATAACCGGCGCAATCTGAAAGGGTTAGCCAAGACTACCTCCCACAGCCGTTAAAGCTAGACCCACCATCAAAGATCCCATATAAACGACCCAGTATAGCGTATTCCAGCGGCCACGGTCGTGTAGGAAGTAAATATCGGCGATGACTTGCGGTTGCAGAGTCTCTGAGGGACCGGCGCCGATACCGTTGAGTCTAAAATGCAGTCAGCTTGCATTTCAATACTGGAGAATATGAAGAATCAGAACTTACACGCAAGCACCCATGAAAGAGCCGTATGTTGTGGCTTTCGCTCGAAGAACATGAGACGCAAGACAGACTAATTGAGAAACAATAAAGACTGGGCGTCGACCAAATGAGGACGAAATCGGAGCCCTTTCAAGGGTTAGCCATGGCTTTGAAAAGCTAAATATCCTTTTGTGGCCTTACCATATGAAATTGCTGAATCCAAGTAGCAGAATGGTCACTCCCGTAAACTGAATGACGTCTTCTAGGTTGCTGTTGTAGTCTCGAATAAGGTATGGAAACATGGACGCAAGAGACAATGGAGCAAAGCCTTGCGAGAAGGTCATTAGAGAGACCGCGCCCAATGTAGACCACTTCCATGATGCTTTCCAATTCAAGGGGTCGTGCGGGTCTTGGGATGGTTGAGGGACAAGAACCACCGTCGAGTGTTCACTCTTGATGAGATGATGCTTCAACACATCGGCCATGACCTCAGTGCCAGGCACGACCTCGATGTGAAGCTCATGTTCGATCTCCTCGCGGGTCTAAAGGACTATGTTAGTGGAAATTCGTACATGAGACAATGCTGGACTTACTGTTTTCTCCGGATCTTTCGACATGGTTGCGATTTTTTTGGCTTGCGATTCTACGTCTCGGACAGTGATGCGATGAAAAACCACGGTGATGAATTAGAACAAACGTCGTAACATCGGGGCGCGGACGTGGACAATAAATGTAGACACAGGCCTGGCCACATCGACCGATACAGTCGAATTACCGACGCGATCTGCGACATCAACCTGTCGACAGCACAACTACGCATCTAGTGTTACCATGATCCTGGGTCGACCAACCTCAAACATTCGGCATGTCTTCGCGGCAGCTGCCTACGCTCAGATATCAAAAGCCGAACCACTAGGTTGAACTCTATGAGCTCTCCCCACGCGACGGCAGGGGGAAGAATGCGGGGAAATCTGGAGAGAGGCCTAGATGGGGTAAGGTGAACTTCAGCTCATCTGACAGGCTCTCATGAAATCTATCACCGGAGCTAAGGTCAAGCAGCCATCCCAGTATTACATGGGGTTGACCAATCACCCCGTCGCCGTTTTTGAGGAGGGTGTGCCGACAGCTTAGCATCAGTCCTATACATCCAAATCGGCACCATGTTGCCGGCATCAAGACAGGGGATGTCACCCCCAATCCTCCGACATTTTTTGGAAGGAGCTTTATCATTCCGTGGGAAATACTTGCGCGCGGCTTGGCGATTCTTGCGGTATTGGTTGATACGCCTACCAACGCAGCAAGTCTGCGGGTTATGATCAAGCTTTGATAAGACCGCGGCCCCTCTCAACCTCATGAGGAAAAGTTCCCAATCACTGTTTCAATCCGAACCTACGTTGCACGGGAGTAAGCGCGTGGGGAAGAGCCCTTGCAAAACGGCTTGAACTTTGCCGAGAAATCTCCTCTTGACGATTCCAGGGTGAAGACCGTTCTTATTTGGTCTAGTCACTCCACGTGCCCAGACAAACATGGCCAAGCGAAGAATTCTAGTCCGTCGTCTCTGGGTGCCGACGCTAAGGTGCCGACAGAAATTCGATGCACTGACACCATGGTCTTTTGGGAAGCCATTTATTTACCTCCCCCAAGGGCAGCTTAAGAGATATTTTGAAGTGCCGAAAGGAGTGCGTTGACTATTAGGCGCGACTGAGAGCCTAGACCAGCGACGTGTTGCCCATTTACTCTATTGGTTCAGGTGATCCGAAGGTGAAAGAAAGGCATGCTCAGACTGGGAAGAAAACGAGGGAGAATAATGACTCAGTATCTACCATTAGCCCGATTCATAACCCAGCGCTTTGTGGTCATGGAATCGTGCGAAAGCTTGTACTCAGAGAGCTTCGGAGCATTAAAGCTCGCTTCATTGAATGACTCACTCCATCTGCGTAAAACTCTCGGAAGACTCTCGGAAGTCTCAGTACATAGCTCAATGTCCCGGATACTCCTCACTCTACGGAATGCAAGTCGGTATGGAGGCCAAGTTCTAGCAACTAGGAGTACAAACGAAATCGCACCTTGTATCCTCGAATCTGATCGAGAATACCACCCCCTCACAGACGCCAGTCCATGGCCACAGTAGATCCCTCTATCCAATCGGAATTTAGAAACATCACGAAGTTCCATATGCAGGCGACGACGCTTCATTTAGCAGACATGTTGACGGGCCTAACCCGAGGAAGCGTCTTAACCATGGGTGGCCACCCGTCTGCTTGGGATGCACTAGCCATCCCTCAGGGTTACTCGGCAGTCTTCTGGGAAGTATAACATGACCAGTCTGTCTCGTCCTACGTACTTCCACGCACCCTAATTATGAATGATGCCCCTGGATCCGTGCCCCTTGCCATCGACACCATTTAAGTGTCAATGGTCAGCTGACACTTTAGCACCCCCTAGCCGAGTCTTTTCCAGATTGACCATCGCGAAGACCATTTCGAAGGTTCATTTGTTCTCGCGTATTTGGTGGAGCAAGACTATTTCGGTGAATGATGGGGTCCTGAGTCGTCGCCGGCACTTGTATGTCGGACAGAGGGTTCCTCACTTGCTACAAGCAGATGGTCTGCAACAATGCCCATTAAGTACGGGTCAGCGCCATGGATCCTATAGTAGTATTTAACCTGTGAAGTTTTATATTTACTGCGGGATACTCGCATAACAGTGCTCAATAAACAAAATTTGCTCAAGCGTGGAGGTGGGTGGGCTGCGGCTGCCGTAAACACACCTCCTGTTCAGACCATGATGTTCGACCTCTGCTTTCCACACAATACACGCACTTGAAGATCGGACATGTTCATTCTTCTTGCAGCCTATTCGGTGGTCATGTTCTTCTCAGGGGGTTAAGAAACCGACCATGAAATTCGATGAACCTAGAAGCTTGTCGCTAGCTGCGTACGTGGTCTGCGTGATGCAGGAATTCCAGATCAGTCAAATTCCCATTGGACAGGGTAGTTAAAGTGCCCTATCCTACTATGATCCATGTGGACCGCTTGAAAGAGGGACTTACATAATGAGAGCCAACTAGATTCACACGTTGATCGCTATAACTGTCCCTTCAACAAGCAACAACAACATGCATACTCTTTCATAAGTGATAACCAATTCCTGATCTATGTTGTAGGAGGGCCGAAGGAAGAGATTCTCCAGGGGTCCACGAATCAGATCCTTGATTCATCGTTATTTCACAGTTCTCATCTACGTTCGTGAGACTTGAGTTGCCTACAGCTTTCAACCAAGCTGGCCCGAGAAACATAAGTAGCCATCTTTTGCCCTTGTTATATGGTTGTAGATGGTTCTGTCCCGTCATCTTCGCAGACAACCGTGCAGTTTGAGTCGTAGATTACCTCTCCTTCTTACCTTGAGATGATGAAGAGAAATTTTCGCAATGACTTACTCCGGCCGCTCCAACAAAGCCTCTGTTCGAGACTGTCTCCAATCGAACTACTCTCAAATTTCAGTTGGAACACTCGTGGAATAAACCTCAAAATATCGAAGCAATGATTAAGTCCAGATGTATTACTAATTTCTGCCAGCCGGCGTAACCCGAAACGCAGTGAAGAGAAGGTGGGAAGTTTGGAGGTACTTGGTGGCGAAGATGGCAATCGAAAGTCGCAACTGGCCTGATAAGATTGTCACATAGTTTTACCTTAGTCGCCGACAATGTCAATGTAGCTAGGTGCTGTCTGACAATCCCATTTGTAATATGAGCGGGCCTGCTTGATAGGTCCAACAAGCACATTGCACCTCAAGCTCGTACTGAGCATGGTTTCAATGGAAGCTTTCAGCTCACAAAAATTCCTTTGCTGCTGCAAATTGTGATCAACAGCGAAGCAGCTGCAGTCTCAGAATCCACGGACTAACACGATAATTCAGAACCAATATTGTGCCGCCTTTACTCAGCACGAGCCGCCCCCGGGCTCCGGGGTCCGAGCACGGAGAGTGGGACGGACAGTTAGCGGGTATTGGCCCAACTGGAAGCCCGATTATGGTGACTAAAGCGCCTTGAACCCCCAATTAAATCGGCAAAAGACGTCAAGACCGAGAACGAACTTTTAGGCCTCGCAGAATGACGCAGCTGCATGCAATTAGTAATGTAGAACCTATACTGAATCCTGTAGGGAAGTAGAACGGCAAACTGAACCCGCTTACATGACGAGGTTCTGTTACAAGAGTGACTAGGCAGTATGTGCACGTCGACTATCCAATGGTCAAGCATGCTAGTCAGCAAAGTGACTTCAACGGCCTGATACCACGTTTTAATTCCGGTACAGCTCCGACTTCAATTATCATGGCATTTCTAATTGCAGGAGAGTCGAAAATAGCTGTGCCCTTCTCCGCTCGGTGATGCTCGGGCTCAAGAATATCCGAGGGATCAAGCAATTCGCAGCCTGCAGCAAATCAGTTTTGTCAACAGGATTTATATATATATATACATCGCCAAAGGCTTACTTCACCTCTCAGAATACACTTCTCACAACACTATAACCATCAAGCAGCATTCACCAGCGACTCTCTGGGTCAATTTGTGCCGATCAAACAGAATCAAGCTCCTCTAAAGCTCAAACTTCACCATGACCGAAACAGTTCTTGTCTTCGGTGCGACGGGTAACATTGGCGTAGCAGTCATTATCGGCGCTCTGCGCGCCAAGCGCCATGTCATCGCTGTTGTGCGCAGTCAAGCTAGTGCCGAGAAGATGTTTAAGTACGTCGGCAGTCGCGACAACATCACCGTGGTTGAGGCCGATCTTACTTCTGAGGACTCTCTCCGAGGAGTCGTCGACCAAGTTAGGGCTGGCAAACTCCCTGCCTTCCAGCATGTTTGGGCCTCGCGTACGTTCTACAAAACTTCACAAGATTCATTCCACGTAGGCTAAAATGACGTTCATGACAGCTGGTGGACTCTACTGGGAGACCCCAATTTTGGAGATTGACCCAGCGGCTCTCCGCGAGGTTCTCAATGTCAACTTCGAGTCGTACTTCTGTGAGAAAACTCCAAAAACCATTTACAAGATCCGAAGTTTGACTGAAGACTCCGATTGCTAATCATTCACCTAGATGCCTATCGCGTGACAGTCCCATACTTGCTTGAGCAAGGGTTTGCTGGCAGCACTTGGACCTTATGTACGGGTGCTCAGGGCGACTATGGTTTCCGCGCTGCTCCCGCAGTGACGCAGGGTGCACTGTTTAGCTTCGCCATCGCTGCGTCTCGGGAGAATGAGAAGACGAACATCCGCTTTAACGAGGTTTACCTCGCCTACCGAGTTCAATTTGAAGTTGATGAGGAAACCAGAAAGGCTTGGGCTGGAGCTCACTTGACCACCTGTGACGAGTTTGCTCCGTTGTACCAGCAGCTTCTGGATAGAGAGGATATCAGGGGCAGCAGAGTCAAGGCCATTACTCCGAAGGATGTCCTGCAACTCTCCGTCGACAAAAGATACAAGGCCTGACCATGTAAGACAAAGGCTACAACTAGATTACAATGATGATAGGTTACGTGAGATATGCCTGAGAATCTCGATTTTCACATTCAGGGAAACCGAAGACTGAACTTTGCAGATTATGCATGACAGATAGAGCTCGATGATGGATTGAAACACTGACTGAATTGTGATGTATGCGAAGCATTTCTCGAGGCTTTCGTGTGAAACGTGAAGGATAAAATGCTCCAGATAAAATGATTGGCAAATTTGTGACTATTGCTGTGACTTCATATAGCTTAGCTGTAGCTGTATGCTCGTGAGTGCTTCCATAATTGATGGCCAAGGTAGGTGGCCGAGCGAATGACGCTTACTTGAGTACGACCTAACCGTGGGCCTAGTCCGAGCCCGGGCCGGACCCGACATTTCGGTTTCATAACTGGCACACAAGCCAACAATAACCGGAGTCTCAAAGAGATCACAAGACTTTAGTTATCAGTGCCCCACTATGTGATAGGTTCATCATCAAATCATACGCAGGCTGTTGAAGAGGTTCACTCTCCGCAAAACTGCCTTGACTAGATGGCCAATTGATGACATAACCGATGTGATCGAGTCTGACTCCAGCCGCAGAGCGAAACCCTCTAGCCCCTCGTCTTTTTGAAACACGGACGAAAGCGGCTGAGTGTGGCTTGGCTTCTCACACTCTCCATAACACTGCGATGTTGAGTCAGTCACGATAGCCGACGTACACATCGTCTGATCTTGGGATGGCAGTAAAGGCCAAGACAACGTTACTCAAAGTCTAATTTGCACGTCAAATGAACAAAAGAAGAATTCTGGGAGAGAAATACAAAAGATCCACAGGTTCGACCAGGCCTGCCTTGCGAAGGAGTGGTGACGGGTAAAGAAGCCAAGGCAATGTCCGTAGATGCAACGAAGAAGTTCAGACGAATCACGCTCTACATGGCATAATCCCAGACAAATTGGAAAGAACTTGCGGCTACTCAGCTGGCCGTGAGAGCCGTTCCGCCGTTCGCCACTGCGGTCTTGGGACGGGATGGCAAGGGAACCCGCGCATGAATCCCCATATTTAGCAGCAACCCACACCTCATGACACGCGCGCTCCTCGATTAAGTTGGTTAAACTTTTCGACAAAGCAGGTACTCCTTGTTCTAACAAAACTGGTTCTAACAATGACTGTAAAATAGTGTTGATCTTCAATTTCCATTCATTTACTAGAAGCTGAAGCGCCTGAGTAGATTGAGCAGATCCAGTCTAGCTTTGCGGCTCCTCCGGGCCATCTGACGAACGATAGTGACTATGAATCGGAAAGACCAGATACAAATACCAACGGGCGAATAACCGTAAGTTGGGAAGTTTTACTAGTTTTTTTGAAGGCAACAATCGTTCGAAACCCACATTCGTTTAACACTATGTTACAGTCACTCACTCCTTTAACTCTACTGAGTTCACTGCTCTTGGCCTCTGGCCAGGGCGCTTTGGGTCATGGCCTTTCCGACCATGCCAGGCGATCAATCGAGCAAACAATGCACATTTCCAGTAAGAGGGCTTTGGATGGTTTCTATGTCATCGATCAGCAGGCTGGAAGTGAATGGGGCTGCACCGAGGAAAAGATCGCCGCGTTGGAGGGTGCCGTCAGAGATACGCAAGCATTGGCCTTCATGGCTTCAACTGTACTTGCCGAAAAGGACTCCGAGTTTTCTGATGCTTACATATTTTGGTTTGGTGGTAAGTTTCGACTTCTATATCTAACAGTGCCTAGAAGATGGTCTGACTGTCGAATGCAGAGGACAACACCAAGGCCGCTACAAAGAATTCCATCAAGACTCTCAACTACGATCCTGTTCAAGATTTCCTCAAAGCCCCTGGTACACGCAACCGCGTCGATGATATGAGAATAGACAACCTCAGCCCTACCGGGCTTACGTACATGTGTGCTGCCGCAGATGATAGCATGTGCGCCGGTGGAATGGCTGCAGCAGCCCACCAGCACGGAGCCGGAGGGTTATCAGGCCACTCCATTGTCTTATGTGACCGGTTCTTCGGGGCTAACTCGCAACAAGATATGTTGCGGACTTGGAAAGATACGCGGAGACTTAGCGCATCTTCCGGCTTTTGGTTGTTGCACGAAGTCCAGCACTTAGGAGCTATCGTTAGTGATGGTCGACGATGCGTCGATGTCCCTGATCCTAATGAAACTGATGGCAGCGGCTGCTACGACGCCAACTGGTAAGTATCGATTATTATACGATATCTGGATATTCTTGCTGTCAAGAGCTTTGCTGATAAACCCAAAGCTGTTCGAGACTCAAAGGCGCCGATAAGATTAGAAACGCCCAAAATATGGCCTTCTTTGCATTGGAGGTCATGGCAGATCCCCAGAGCGGTGCAGCACCCGGGCAGTCATGTACCATTATGAAAAGAGATACGGGTAGCGTCTTGCTCGGAGGACCCGAAGATCTTATGGCGAGAGCAGACTATAGTCTAGATGCCAAGTATGAGGCGATGCTTCGTAGACAGGCTAAGGCATCGTCGACCTGGATCACGACACACCGAAACGGCACAAGCTCTCGAGTCCCGACGTCTCATTCGAGCAAAGTACCGGTGTTATCTTCAGAACGACCTACTAGATCGGCGTCGGCCTCACGCTCAAAGCCACCGATGCCTCCTGCATCTTCGGGACCCCGATCCAGCAATCCAGCGCGGCCATCGTCGTCAGGACCTCGAGCCAGCAACCCGGTGCGGCCATCATCTTCGGCACCTCAGCCCAGCAAACCAGCACCACCGCCGTCCTCAGGGCCTCGATCTGGCTCCCAGGGACCTATCTTCACCACCAGGCCACCTATCCCAGCGAGCTCCTTTTCGGGTGCTTCATTCTCATACTCCTACTCCACAGCCCCGCCAACCACTGAGGAAGGTGGAGTTCCCATTATTCCCATTGTTCCAATTCCCATTCCCATCGCACCTGTTGCGCCAGTTCCTCCGATTGTGCCTCCGGTTGGTGGCGGTGGTGGCGGAAATGGCGGTGATAATGGTAACAACGGCGAAAACTCTAAGCCTGCAGAGTCAAATCCTCCAAAGACCTCAGAGCCTTCATCCCCGCCTACCTCTTTGCCACCTACGTCTTCATCAAAACCCTCGCCTACCTCGTCAACACCAGTCACCCGGTGTTCTTCTAGACCGCCGCTGTCAGTACCCACAGGAGGTGATGCATCACCAGACAGAGACGGGTTCCCTCAGGCAGTCTACGACGGTCTTGCCGTGGAAGCTCGTAGCACGAGCAGAGCGAGCAGTTCTAGCTCTACCTCCTCGCCACTCATGGTCATCACTGACGTGCCCGAGCCTGAGTCGACAGTTGAGGTAGTGCCGACTGCTACCCCTACTGTTGCTCCTGTCAACCCAGTTGCTTGCTATAACTTTGACATTAATGCCTATGGATACTGTTGTCCGGGCCCGGGTAACCCATGTGAGAAGGATATTGGAAAGTGCTACTTCAACGGAGAGGGCGTCTCTGGGGGTGCAAGTGGGATTGTACCAGACGGAGCCCGGTGCCCACCACCTCCTGGTGCTGAATATTGCAGAGGTCCCTGCGAAGAGTAGTTTCTCCAAGACAAGCGCCAGTAGCCATAGACTGTTGGGCGTGGTCTATGTGGAAGTCTCCCTCAGTCCACCTCTGACGTCGAACTGAACCCTAATTTTGCGCACCAATCGTTCTTTCAATTGTTTTGTTTTTATGTCGGTCATGCCCGAATATTCAGTCTTGACTTTCAGGTCTCCGTTGATCTAATATAACTAGTCCGTTGAATATCCCGCTATATAAAGGAGAGACTTGGTTCCAGGTACAAATGTGTGGCGTACGTCTTGGGAGTTACACATCGACTCGCTATCTTCCTTCCCGCATCTGGTTTTTAGTCTGTAGGTAGTGATCAATTGATGAAGTAGCTGTTGTGTTCTCGATGTTAACGATCAAGGATAATCTCAATAGGCACACGATCCTAAAGTCAATGTGATACAATGTCGGATCGAGAGGCTTCCTGCTTCCACAATAAAAACCACAGTGTCTTTATTATGTCAACTCGACTATCGTCATCATTTAAGTCTCTTGGTAAATACATCAATCAAAGAGGCCAGTTCTCAGTGGGCCACATTATGCGTATCTCTTACGGAGGCGGCGTTAGCCTCTCTTCCATTCTGTTATTCGTCCTACTTCTTGTGGAATGGACCTAACAGGCTTCCCATGAGTGCTTTCTTGCTTTCAGAATTGATAGTATCATGGGAAAGCATCCGCTAATCCTTGAGCTAGAGGCATTATGCAAACAGTCATGTGGAAGTATAGAAGGCTTGAGTTGAAGTACGATAATCGGCTTGGGTAGTTAGAATGGAACGGGCCGTTGAGTGCGCCACATGAGTTGAGCAAGACTTAGACCGTGAGCCGCGTGTTAAGTGACAGATGTAGCAAAAGGTATGTTCTAGGAGTGCGTACTTGGCTTACTAAATAGGAGCCATGTCCTGCTAAGAAAAGAGGGGTTTACAAGTTAGCCTTAACACCAACACAGGTAATCTAGGTAGTTGTGTAAAAAGCTCCTACACGTATCTGGTATTCTTGTGTGGTCCAACCGTGCCTCTTCGCCTGGGTGCTTGCGCTAAGGTTTGAGACAGAGCATGCAAGGGCAGATGTATACGGTACGCTCCTAAGTCTCAACCGGGATTGAAAGATGGTCCCTTAGCATTTCATGCCGTCATAGTGACCTCTCGCAGTAAGACTACTGTGAGGTGAGGGTGGCTTCCGTATCGTGGCTTTGCTTGAAAGCATGACCACTGTTGAGGTGCCACGTCAGCCATTTCTGTCCTGATATCTCATTTCTGTTGCCGTGCAGCTGGGTTTACCACGACGCTGTTCCAGCTGTTTTAAGTAGAGCACCTTTCAGTGCAATCTGGTGCTATATGTCTGGGTGATAACACTCAAACTACACGCTGTGCCGCCCTCCCGCCTTGGGCAACATCAGCCATTACATTCTCTTCAAGACTTTCTCGGGGACGCCGGCTTGGCATTCCACCGACAGATTCGTTTCTATCGATTTTGGGATGAAATTCATCTCTTTTTCTGCGTCAGATCGACGATGATGCATCAGAGAAACGTGAGAAGGCATCGCTCGGTAAGCATTTTTCATCCCTCAGCCTAGCTGCATTGCAGATCACCACTGCCAGCGGCTGTTGAAGCGGCACAAAAGCAAAGTCCCGTACATGTATGTAACGTTATTCATTACCTTTCGACAGGATGTCCTTCTGACTATAATTAGTCCAAATGAAGTGATCGCGACAAGCGCCCATACCGCCGCCAGAAGAAATCGAGATTGACGATGTACTCAAGGCGGTGAAGTTTGCGATTTTGCTACTTATGCTTGGCCAGGCTACGATCCCACTTGTGAACACGAAGGCTCCGGCTTAAGAGCCTCGTGGGGGCTCTTGGGGGCTCGTGGGAGCTAGGCAAAAAGCCTCCCCCGGAAATCGTTTCCTCTACAAGCTGGGGTGGCTTGCCGAGGTGCACCACGGTCTTCGACCCTGGATATCGAGGCCTATTACCATCTGTCCACACTTCTGACTGATAACTAGGCAACACATGCTGTCTAAATCGGCTAGGTTGTGGTACTTTTCTCTACTCCAAGTTGATGGATAGGTTGTTTATGCGATATGTCGTCGATCTAGGTTGTTAGTCAGCCTTTGTTATGTTCTCATCAATTTCAGCAGCCAACATATTACCTGAGGATAATGAGCAGTAGTCGGATACCTACCTATATCCTGACGCCACGCTATGAGACCTGCTTTCAACTACGCAGTGACTGTTCCGTCATTCATTGGGCTGGGCTCCTTTTGGCACAGAATTGTTCTCTGTTTCTGTGCAGTGCGTAAGCGGTTAGGTGCAGCAAGTGACAAGTTCTCCAACTCAGGAGTGCCAATCTCGACGCGATAGAGGGGTTCGAAGTGCGGTTTGTTGAGGCATTTACCCCAATTTCTAGCCCAGTCGAGAATATCAAATGAAGGTCGGCACTTTCGCATTTTCGCCTTGAAGAAGTTTAGTCTTTTCATCAAAGTTGTGACAACGAATCGATAGAAGAACAGCCTTCCATGGCAAGGGACCTAGAGCGAGAGGTGTTACTGATGCCTCTCCCATGATCAAGCCGCCCCTGACCTGGCCCTCTGCAAGTGCTCCAAGCAAGGGGTTTAGGCATGTTCTCACCCGCATGCTGTCCAGAACTGTGTCCGAGTTGAAATACTAGCGCCATAAGCCGCCATGGGTCGCCATGGTTCTGGGACGTCCTCATGATAAACCTGATCCGTCGAAATAAGGCGGCTTGGTCCTCGCCCGGTCTCGTACAGGCAACAAACTAAACTAAGTCTTCGATTACGCATCCTGCAGGCTGACATAGGTTTGTGCCAAAGTTGACTGGGTGCCGATTAGTGAATGATAGGTGGAGGAAGCTTGAAGAACTCACGACATTCGAGCCCGATGAGGCGGCTTGACTATGGAATGAGGCCCAACGGATCCAGTCTATGTATCGACCCTGTTATCGCTAAGGCAGTAGTATGCGACAGCCATCAAAGCCAGTCTGGGCTCATTCACAAGCCTGACATCTTATTTTAAGATGACCACAAACGCCCTACTATTAGTTCATGATGCTTCTTGGTTTCTCTCTGAGATACTCTCCAGTCATCCTCATCTCTTACCCCTCTTCCCGTTGTGTTTCATATAACCAATATCATGGACTTCCAACCCAAGAAACAATCTTCCAGGCGAGGTTCCGAGACCACCATTCCATCGCGGCACCGATCAAGTGTGCCCTCCCCTTACACCCAACCCCCACCACAGACGGCCTTCCCACAGACACATGCCGGATTTCCAATCAACGACTCATATCCATTGGCTCTGCCGCTCAATCAAGGAAATTCTGGGGAAGGCTTCCCGGCCTTTGTCACACCAAGCGCTGTCGAATACTCGGACTCTAATAGCTATCGCCATAATCATAACACAGTCACAACGGGGTACCCATACTCCAGCAGTGCCCCGGCAAACAGCATGATGTCCTACCCGCCCGTACTGTCGCAGGCAAATTCCGCCTATGCTGATCGCTCGTCATATGAGGTTCAGGCAACCTCGACACACCAGTCATTTTTGCCGCACCGCAGTCACCCGAATAGCCCTTTAACGTCTTATTCGGGGTTGACAGGTCATTCGTCCGCCGCGAGTTCTTACGGCTATCCCTATGCCGCCAGTTCTGCGACAACAACCCCTAGCGCAGCGAACACGCCTGTACAGCCCTTGTCGCCCACACTTATGGGAGTAGGGAGCTGGGATAATACCAGACAGCCCAGAGAAACCTATCAGCAACCAACTGTGGACCGAAGCAATCGGGAAGGACGTAGGGTTCACGTCACAGATTTCCCACCCAACCCCTCGCGATCTGAATCGATAGAGGTCCATCGATCCAGCAGGTAAGGGTCTCTTTCAGTGTCTGTCATTACGTGTCCTGATTGATTACTAGTCCTCCGAGAGAGAGAGACATCCACATAAAGAGGCGCAGCGTTCGACCTTTGGCGTCGTGTAAAGATGACCAAAAGAGCACCAGCTCTCGGCCACGCAAAGACGACGACAAGGACGACAGAAGGAAACGGACACGGAACGAACAGAGACGAGAAGGTGGTTCGGACAGACGTGAGACGAAAACGTACTAGTTTGGCATGCAATTTCCAGAATTCTCTCTTCCTTGCTGGGTTTGCAGTACTCTCAAGGGTTTCCTTTGCGCCCCTAGAGATTTCTTTGTATTCGTTGTGGTAAAAGTGGTGTTGAGATCCAATCAACTTCTGGTTAGGATAAAATTGTTTTCCCTTGCTGTGACTAGCACATGTATCAGGGGGTCCCAAAATGCAATTCTTCCAAGTTCTTTCTCGAAATCGTGGGAAGTTTGGAAATCTTTTTCCACTTCAATCCCTAGATGATATGACGCATCAACATTCGGCTCTAATCATGATTCCTGGCGCTTGGAGGCGAAAAGAAATGAAGCTGTCAGATATTAAGCGACTCCCGGCTAAGCACATGTGTGTCCAATAGGGCATCCTTTCCCAGTGAGGCTTCAAGGGCCCATGAGGCCGAAAGTGCTTGATTGGACTGAGGCTTGTGAAAAAGTGAGGCGGAGCAGCAAGATACGTCTTCTCCGCCGGGGTAGTTCGAATCGTCCCAACCAAAGATTCTTGCTTTTCTCTGCATAGCACTTCTTGTGTCATTGGCTCGGAACCTTGCCTACTTACGATGAAGCTTTTTCATACCAGGACACGGAGGTGGGAGCCCAATCAGCGACCCGAACTTGGACTTCGTCTGCATCGCCACCCTTGCTCTTTATACCAAGTTAGTGGGCCTTTCTTCCAAAAGAGACCCTTGCTGCCGAGGCTTTCACCTTTCCACACAAATATGAACGAACTTGCTCCACCGTACAGCATTTGGCAGGTTTAAATCATGGAAAGCCAACTGGGATGAGTGGCGCGGACCGCCCGATGAAGCCACGTCCGGCCCAGTGGGAGCAAGGACACCGGGGTCCAGAGCTTTCCATACCTGACCCCTGGAGAGCATGTTAATAGAGTTTCTGGGGTCCTCTGTCTTCCGCTGGACTCGTCAATCATGTGATCAATAGAACTTGAGCAAAGCACTGCCAATCACTCCAACGTCGCCACAGGTGCGAGGCTGCAGACAGAACATGTCCAATAGTTCCCAGCCCATGCGCAACTTGAGAAGATGAAACCTAATTCAAAGACACTTTTACGGAATTTGCGACTTCTGCCTTTGGAAGAGATTAGATTGAGCCTGGTAATCTGTATCAACAGGCATTCGGGGGACGAGCGGACGGAGCACGAGCCCCTATGAGCGTCGTTCATAGGAACCCCTGATCGTCAAAGCAGTAATCTGTACGGAGTACTTCGTAGCAGGACTTATCCGTGCCGTGAACACATGTCCTTCTTTGCTAAGGTTTTGCAGGGGAATTAGCCTCTGCGAAGTTTGCCAAACTCGGTCGAATTATCCGTACTTGCCCTTCACTGATTAGTCGTCCTGTCTTTACAAACATGATATCGACGATTGAAGCTTCCCTGTACCGATAAGTGGAGCACACCCATTCGGAAACCAGTCCACCTTCCTTGTCCTGGCACGGCCCTGGACGATGACCCAGATAATCAGTTGCTTACTTAGGTTTACGACTAGTAAAACTGTCGAGTTACGCCTAGTATAATAATACCTTGACCCCGGCGATAGATTTATTCAGTACTGGGTGGATTGGTTGTGGGATACATTAGGCTAAATAGGGAGCTACGAGCCAGGGGTTGTCCAGAGGCCGAAAGACCAGATGAACTACTATGTGCGAATGCCTCCATAGGATTTCAAATCAAGCTTTCTTTCCAGATTTCTCTACCTGTAATCGGATATTAAGCCAAGTCAAAAACCCCCGACGGCCGAATTGGCGGTGACACTCTCCGCGCCACTATGTACGGTCTTGCCGACGACTGTGGGTTACGGAAGTCGGCCTGTGCACGCATTATGATCATGAATCGTGAGTTTACTGCCTTGACTTCCGAATTAGGCATCAAGGCGCAGAGTCTCGAGCATGAGCCTTTCCTGTTAAGAATTAGTGGGTTGTCATCATGGCTAAGTACAGAGTTTTGGAAGTACTCGTCTCATATCTATCATCTGCTTGATCACCGCGGGCAGTTGGAGTTAATGTTATGACCGCCAGTTGGCAGCATGAGAGCACACATCAGGTGTGTTGCATGGGCTATCGAGCACCAGCTACGTCAACAGCTACGGAGGTGGCCTTTGCACGGTAGTCAGAGTCTCGAGCAGGCAGATTCTACCTAGCTCAATAGCTCTGCCCTACTACACTGGCTGGCGACGGGCTTTGCCAATGAATTCTGTCCCCTGTACTAGGTGCCAGTCGGCATGTTCACCTCGAAGACTAAGAGACAATAGCTTTAGTCTAGTTTCCAATAAGAATTTGGGAAAGTCGCCGGTGTATGTAAGAGTTGTATATCTTAGTTCAGAATTTAGGCTTAGCGCGTTCTCACAACATTCATCCTGAGTTCTAGAGCGCCGTCTAGGTAATCATTGAATAGGCCCCGCTGCACTGGGAATTGGCGGATCTCGTTTAGCCTCAGCTGGATTCGAACCAAGGTCGCGTGATCTTTGACTTCATGTACCATGTTGTAAGTCATGGAATTTGACCCATGGTTGTCAGGGGCTTGCACGGTGATTTCTATGTGTCCTATGACACGATTATGATATTTAAGACGTCTTTCTTCCAGGCCAATATTGATTTTTCCATTTTACATCAGGCACTTACAACTCATCAGTCTTTCTTTGACCATTACTTATTCAGTCACTCTCTACTCGTCCGTCATTTCATCACCGTTCAGAACCGCTCAACACAGCTTGAAGGGTAGATTGCCCCCTTAAATTCCTTGCCCTCAAGTTCTATTGCTCAAGGTAGCTAGACTAACGTTTGTATAGCAACCCTCACGTCAGACATTCAAGATGCGTTACACCACTGCTCTCATTGCTGCTCTGCAGGTCGCTAGCTTCGTCCAGGCCAGCCCTATTCTCTCTGATAGAGACGTCGCTGCGCCTGTCGATAGCCAGGCTCTCGACGTTCGCAATTCTGGAGACATCGCCAACCTCGACGCCGACAAGATCGTTGACCTCGAGGTCCGTGGCATCGAGAAGCGTGCCACCGATATCACTCTCTCTGCGGACACCGGCTACTATAAGCGTGTTGCCTACAAGGGCGCCGTCATCTTGCTTCACCTCTTCTACGACCTGGCTGTCAACCACGTCGTCTTCTACTGGACCATTGACGGCACGACCCCGGCTCCCGGCAGCATCCCTCTCGCCTTTGACGACCCTATCGGCGGTGGTTTCACTCTGAGACAGTACACCCACGACACTCGCTACAACCTTGGAAGTGCTATGCGCCCTGGCGATGTAATCAAGGTCACCCCTTAGATGCCAGTGAAGTCAAAACATTAAGGTCACTTGAATATGACCATGCTCAAGCTCCTTCATCAAGGTCTCGATGGATGGATCAAATTTGGTAAAGCCTTGGGAAATTTTGATCAATTCAGTCACGTATTCTGAACAAGTCGGTTATCATTTAGACAGAGAAAGAGAGTAGCTTTCTATATATGGTCCATCATATATCACCAGCAATTTAACCTGAAATTGAAACACTATTACGTTGTATGTGCGAACGATGTGAATATTGGCGGCAACTAAGACATATCAGACAGCTTCCTTGAGAATACTGGAAGCATTCTTCTTCTTATTTCGCAAAATATCGGGGGCACATGTCCCTTATATCTTTCTATCGAGTGCTGTAACTGATTTTCTTACACCACGAGAGCTGAGTGTTTGTATTATCGGTCATTTTGGTTCGCAAAGTGACATCATTCTTCAATCTCTCGTGACTTTGTATCCTGGTCAGACTAGCGCATGGAGGTTTCGTTGAAAGTAGGTACTTAGTGACCGGAGGGTGTAGCCAACCTTTATGAGTATCTCAAGTTAGCGGCACCCCTCCTGGAGAGTCCTTCCTCACCGGTGCCCCAAAGTTCAATGCTCGCTGCTCTATCCAGGCATACCAGGGCGTAGGAATTCGCCTCGTTTTTACCACACACAATGCCAATCCAAATGCCCAACAGATGTCTCCAGGCGGCCAGGCAGCCTTGCTTGATGCTGTGAGAAGCATGGTAGCGCCAGCCCAGGGAGGTGTTCGGATAGTAAAAGAAACTCGGTGAAGATTGTCAGACAGGTTGGCTGGAGGGACCGCCATGATGTGCTGGCAATGTGTAGGGCGCACAAATTCCTTCAAAAGCCTTAAAGGGGCTTAGGAGGAGGCAGGAGAATGGGGCTTCCTATCTTGTGGACGACTCAGAGTCATGGCCGCACCTCCGAGTGACCTTGGTGTCTTACTATTTACAGCTCAGAGGGTAAGATTATAGGATTCCAGCACCCCGGGGGCGGTGAGTGCTTCCGTTGTATGTCTGTATCATCAGGAGTCATGAGAGAAGGGGTGTACTTCCACTTCATTCTCGTCCAATACAAGCCCCCCTATTCCAGGTTACCAAAACAAGGCAACTTTCGTATTCCTCAACATTGCCTCGTCCTTCTTACTTCCAGTCGGCATTAGCTCGATCACGTCTGCCTCATAGTGGTAGGTGAGCAGTCCTGTATTAGGGTGGCCGATGTGAACTTCCCATTTGAAGGCTTTTAACGTACTCATTCGGGTCCCGCCCTGCCCTTCATGACTTCTTCCTTGGGGTCGAGAGACTTCCTGAGTAACATCCGAGCAGAAAGCGCAGAGTAACCGCACCATGCCTCTGAGCACTTGCACCACAAGCAGGGCCAATGAGGGCGGGAGCTCCACCCCTCAAGCATCAGGAGGACATGTGAGCCTTTCGGTCGGTGGGAGCAAGCTTGATTTCTTGAGAGTGAGAGGCCGCGTACATGATACAGTGGACTCTACAAAACCCTCTTCACACCCATTCATTTGAAGGTGGCTTTCTTCCTTGGACCCCAAGTCTCGCTCACCCACCATCAGGAAGCTTCGAAATCTAGCGGTGAAGATGGTGAGCCCTCATCATTCCACTCCAGCCTTGCAAGGCCATCCACTCAGCGCTGGTAGCTGTACCGGAGCCCAAGATGGATCGACAGCGTGGGTGTTGCCTACTTCTTTGTTTTGAATGTGCTTGTCTAAAACACTTCCAGATCATCTACGAATAACCTTGTGGATGGCCATTCAAGCCATGACAAGCATGGGTCTGCAGAAATGTGGCATCCTACGCCTTCACTCACTGACTTTGTGGATGCCGTGCAGAGTGCGCATGAGAGGCTTGCAGATCGAAGCACCTCTGGCAAGCAGGCCAGGATGGAAGGGAAAAGTGCGGCTGCAAGCGCGCTGAGCGCCATCCCGGGGTTGAATTCGCTTTTGCAACCTCTCAAGCCATCTGAGGGCACCAAATCTCATCAGTTCACTGGAGGACACAAGGGAGACTTCGCGAAAGGGGGTCGCTGATGCAGCACATCAAATCAGGCTGAGACCACCTAGGCAGGTAATTATTCCACCGGGCCCCAGCAAGCAGAGACATAACGCAAGCGAGCTCACATGGTTTGGCCTACGAACACATACTGACTTGTAGCCACAGAGCATAGATAGTTTTGTGAAGATTCTGATCAAGGTGCAAGCCGCAGTTCTATTGTTCATGGTCTTTGATGCCATCTACCTGTCTAAGTACTGAGTAGATGGAGCGGAGGCATCGGTTTTCAAGGGGGGGATACGTGGTTGCTGGAATGCAACGTGACTATGGATTCTTGGGGAGGCTCATAATGATGGATTGGTGTGGTGAGGACACCTTCTGTGGAAAGGCGAGACTCTGCGGCTGTAGACTCCTCTTCTGATAGATGCACCAGGCTCTGACTTGATAGTGTAACGATCAAAATCATTGAGATGCGATTTTCACTACCTGCCTAATTCGCTTCTCCATCGAAGAAACTCGCGCTGTACATCTTGGGTTGCCGCCACTTGACGAGCGGACTGACACGTCGCGGCATACTTTCAAGCTGTGGGCTGGATAATGAAGCCAGAATGAAGCTTGGATGCAGTGGTTTCTCGCTTGTTGGAAGCTCGGCAACACCACCACCGCACATAATGAGGGTTGCATCGACCGAGACAGGCCCCAATTTTCCCTGCCTCTGCAGTTCAGCTATGTACAAAAGGATATCGATAAATGTGATTGATCTGCTTTGCCTGCGTCTTGTCCACAATTCATTTCGGCACGCGAGAATTAGCAGCGGTCGTGCTGCTCCCTTGATACACTGCGGCCCGTTTTCCATAGAAACAACATGGGATTCATACATCGCCGCCGAAGAGGAAAGTCGTAAAAGAACTTGCGACCCACGGACAAAAGCCACTCTCGTTGATCTTGTAACATCCTAGAGAAAAGAAATCCGATGGCATGGCACTGGGGCTTTCCGGGATCAATGATCAACTCTAAGGGCTGTCTTGACTTCAATCTCTTTGGCCATGTCACATCGTTCTACCGATCGAGAACGCCAGCCTGCCGACAGAGGTAAGGATCTCCGAAATCTTGCAGAGAGCTGAAGCACCTGTGGCGCTGGAACGCTGGGGTGAGCTAGATCGACAGCTCCCACACGAGCGGCTGTCGTTGAGAAACATGTCTCTACAATGCGGGGAATAACAACTTTCGCGAGAGCTGGATTATCGTTGCTCTGGCCCGAGGCTTGAGGAGAAGGTGAAGACGAACTTGACGAAGATTTGTCTTCCCTCCAAATGCACCGACATGTCAGGCGATTTGAGGTAATTGTCGGTCAGGCAAGACGGCTTAACTGTGCCGTCTGCTTGTCTGCTGTGCCTCCATCATCCACGGCCAAGTCTGATCCTTCTCCTGGTCATCTTGCCGATAGCAGCACCGACCACTATTCTCACTTGATTATTCCCGGCGCAAAGAATGGTAGCCATATATGCCAACTTCGTTCCAAGACTTCTCAATCACAACTTTCTTGTTCGGAAGACTACCCAAAGGCGGGTTTACTAGCCGCCCTTTACAACATCAACAGGGAGTACACCTTCCGTAGGATGGGCGCCAACCCAGATCCCTCCACAGCCTGCCGCAAGATCATCTGTTTTGTATCCCAAAATCCAGGTTGTCGGCTGCAGAGCTTACTGAATCCTTGCTATCCTGAGATATTAGACCCCAACGGCCCCAGCTTGTCCTAGGTTATCTTTTCAGGTTCACCTTCGGCCTCCCCGACTCTCCATCCTCCCCAACGGCTCGGCATCGAGGGTATCACGACCTCAAGGGACTCGGTGGTTCTTTTGCAGTGAACCACCCCAGCAGTGGCCGTTATTCTTCTCCGAATCTGCTATACCCTCGAAAGCTCTAGCACCAACAACGAACACAGCTCTTCCATCTGCGGCACAGAACTCCGTTGAAGTTTTGGCTGTGGCTGTGGTCCTGCCTCCAGCGTCATAGCAGCGCAGGCAACCCGGCGGTCCACAAATGTCAGCGTACCGGTGAACACTCGTCTGTCCTGGTGCAACAGAAAGACAGTCTCTCATCCAGCCGAGTGATTTGGTCAGGGGCTATGGTTCTCTTTGCAAGCGATACCATGTCGAAGAGCCGCAGCAGTCTGCCTCGGCAGTGCTGCGAGTGCACCTGAAAACGAAGCTGTTGATCGGCCCCTTGTTCCGGTATGCCCCCCGTCCCATGATTCTATGGTGCTCTTTTCTCTGCATTTTGGGCGAAGCTGACCTATCACCTAGTCTGTGATAGCCGCTCCTTATGACACATTCGATTCGAGAAAGCTTGACGACATTCTTCACCGACAGTGGGCCAGGGTTATCCCTAACTTCAAACGACACTATCCTCCATCCATGGCAACGGCCTTTGGCCTTGCTTTATCGATTCGATGTCAAAGCTCAGTACGAAGACCCACGTTCGTGAGGGCTTGAGATATTCTGGTCATGGATAGAGCAGGACGCCCAAGGTTGTCACGGTCCCACGAATTCAAATCGTGCTTGTTGTCACTGGCCGAACTATAAATATGACGGGGACGTATTGTCCGGCGACAAAAGAATCGAGACTTCTCTCATCGTCACTTCAACGCAAAGATCTACGGCACTTATCACCAAGCTCCCGTCTTCAATACCTACACTTGTTGCTCTCTTTTGCTTCTTCATCTAGGAACCAACCATGTCAAACTTTATCCAACACGGCAAAGACGGCCGACTATATTACAGATCAAGCGATGGGAAATGGTATCCCTACACCGAATCATCCTACTCGGATACAACCCCGGCCTCAACCCAGCAATATCATCAAGGCCAATATGCCGAGCGACGCCCCAGCTATCATCAGTATGCGGACAACACGGCGGAAGCTGGAAGGTATGCAACATCGTCACCCTTCTTACATACGAGACTTACTCACGACTAATCGTAGCTTCTACGGAGAGTATGACGAAGACGACGTCCCTGCGGCCTCCTCGTCTACACAAGGTGGATCAACGGAAACTGCCAAATATGTCAAGAAGCAAGAGAAAGAACGAAGACACCGGGAGAAACTACGGGAAGGCGGTCGATCCGGTCGGAGTAAGCATAAGAGCAATACCAAGAAAAAGATCGACGAGACTCTCAAGCCATTCTACAATAGCAAGTAAGCGATGGACGTCAACATAGCAACGCGTTGCTAAAGCGTACAAGTGGATACGGCAATTTCTTTGCGTAATTCCGGTGGCTTTCTACTCTTTGGTATTCTCTTGTTCCTGTATAGTACCTTAGATAGGATCTCCTCATGTCTGTACAACTCTTTCATTCACACTAGTGCGTTTCACATACGCAGCATAGCATTGCTACCTTCTTTCTTTGTAACTCTAGTCAATCCAGTGTAAACCTTTGCACAGAGCACTGTTCTTGATTGAGACATATGTTCTTGGGATGTCACTGGTGGGTCCAGACCGACACACGGCCTCTTTTGACCCTGACCTGGAAGCACCTTAGCTCACATTAAATCTCCGACATGACATCACGTCAAACGGCAAATGTCGATCAGGAAACTTGGGATTGAAACGCTGTAGGTTGATTGAACCCGCGTCATACTCTTTACATCTGGCTTAGCAGTTCTAGTGTTCTACAAGTCTAGTTTCTACATCTATAGTCTATACACTCGTGCCCTTTTTCGTCACCCTTCCTCGACTTAGAAAGACACTTATTCGACTCTCGCTCTCTTCTGGCCATTGCCGTTGGTGTGGCCATTGGTGCCGTTGGTCTCGCCCTGAGCAGCGAAGTACTCCAGGCTGCCCTTAGGGTCGGCCTTCATGCCCTTGCTGCCGTTCATCCATCCGGCGGGGCAGACCTCACCGTGCTCGTCGGTGAATTGGAAAGCCTCAACAAGGCGGATAGTCTCCTCGACGTTGCGGCCGACGGGCAGGTCGTTGACGGTGATCTGGCGGAGGATACCCTTGGGGTCGATGATGAAGAGGCCGCGAAGGGCGACGCCCTCCTCCTCGATCAGGACGCCATAGTCGCGCGAGATCTTGTGAGACTTGTCGGCGACGAGGGGGAGCTGGAGGTCGGAGCCGAGGCCGCCCTGCTTGCGGGGCTTCTCAGTCCAGGCCAGGTGGGAGAAGTGGGAGTCGGTCGATACGCCGAGGACGGTGGTGTTGATGGCGCTGAAACGGGGCAGCGCGTCGTTGTACTGGATGATCTCGGTCGGGCAGACGAAGGTGAAGTCAAGGGGGTAGAAGAGGAGGACGACCCTGGAAAAGATTAATGAGTTTAGCTCTGGATTGTCTCATTTTCGGCGCGCCGTTTCGCTGCGGCTAGTTCAGCATGAATCCACATACCATTGTCCCAAGTAGTCGGACAGCTGGATGTCCTTGAACTCGCCGCCGGGGAAGACGGTGGTCGCCTTGAAGGCGGGAGCAGGGCGCTGAACGAAGGCAGTCGAAGACATCGTGACGGCAATAACGTGTATCTTTGCGTGATCGGAGGTGGAACGGAGAGGAAGGGAGCTAGCTATTGTGGATGAGATGATAACAGTGTCGGTAGCTCTGCGCCAGGAGGCGGAAATTTTCCTTATCTATGTTTCACTGATTTCAAGCTCCCGACTCAGATCCTGGACGTTGTGGATACCTTCTTTTGCCATTGGGTCCACAGATTGCTCCATGGTCTCATTTCGGCAATCTTCCATTTAACTGGTCATGGCGTGATGCGTTAAAGTGTGCGCAACGCGTCGCGTTCTGGTTTTTAAACTTTCGCGCGATAAGGTAAGGCAAGTGGGATGAAAGATAAGATCCTCCGATCACCGAGATCGTGATCGTGATGATCGTGAGCTTGTGTAACATTGACAGCCAATGTGCCTTTGATTGCGTATTTGAAAACTATGCCGCGTAGAGCCAACGAAACTTATGTAGAACAGCACTCTAAGAATAGAGATGGAGAAACCGCTTCCGTTGCGAATTACTGTCAATCTCATTTCCTCCCTAGCCAACGAT